GCTTAAGGAGTCTGGATGTATTTGGATATCTGTCGATGGTCTGTACAAAGGATCGCGTGGCATGGTCCGGACTTATTTTCGTGGGTACCGGGTACCCCAATTAGGGTACCGGCGGTACCACATTTGAAAAGTTAGCCATATTATTCCTCCGGCGGCCGCAAACTTACGTCGCGCAAGCTAGCGCCAGCAAGGCATGGCTCGCGGCGCACTGCAAGCGGCTGACAACGCAACTAGGGCGGATACCTTCTGGGCGGTACCGGGTACCTAAATCAGAGTACCGGCGGTACGCAGTTCGCAAACGGCACCCGTAGTATTCCGGCAACGGCGCGATGAAGCGCGAACTAATCATGACTGGGCTCGCGCCAGCAATTGGCGACAGAACTGGCGCCACGATTCGCGCTACAAGACTGCCGAAATTCAAACCACAGAGGTAGCGACACTAGAGGAGCGCCATTGGCAGACTTGTTGGGCTTCATATGAAGCTTAGAGTTAGCGCGCATCATGGAACAATAGTGAAAGATTGCCATGCAAGCCGGCCATGATGGTGACACGCAATTGGTTTGACAGATTGAGCGAGGAGCTTTGCCACACCATCTTTGCTAGAGTGCTAGCTTCCGAGGGTCCAAGGGCGTCTGAAACAACATTGCCGCTAGCTGCGATTCGTCTGACTTGCAGAGAGTGGGCGACCGTTGGACTGCGTTTTGTAAAAACGCTACGGGTGCGAGATGCTACAGAGGTCCACCACGTGAGGCGCATTGTTGAGGAAGCTGACAATATCCTATTAAAGACCTTGGATGCACGGCTTTCCGAAAGCAACGAGGGGGCTCCAGCGATTGTGGAGGAGCTCGGACGGCATGCTTGGGAGCAGATGCACCTGGAAGGGGCGGCTAGAAGTGCAACGGTGTGGGAGAACTCCTCGGGGACGCTGACACACTTGAGCACCAACAACTGGGGAAGAGCGTTCAGAGCGCGTGCTCAGGAGACGGCCTGGAATGTGGCAACAGAGTCGAGAGATTTCTCCTATTTTGAGTCGATTGCGGGCTTTCCGATGCTAGATGCTTCTCTGGTGACTTGCAAGGGCCTCCGAGAAGTAGAGCTTACACTAGATCCATTGAACCCCAATTGGCAACTCCGATTCGTCTCCCGAAGACTTTGGAGGCTCAAACCGGTCCGAGTGCTCACCGTGAACGTAGACCGCCCCGAGCAAGACGGCGACGGGACGGTTGAGTCCGTTCTTAGGACGTCGCACCGTGAGTACGGGAAAGGTTTTGACTTGCTTTCGGCGGCGTTTCCGCAAGTAGACCATGTCAAGATTCCCAATTGGCAGTTCCCCCTGGGCGACAACATCGAGGTGTCGCCGTATTTGGGTTACACCGGCTGGCGGGGAGTGCGGATCTTGGAGCTCGGAACAGCAGGACTGCCGTACACCTACGGTGCGGCGCGGGTGCATGTGGTAAGCCTTGAGATGAAGGTGCACTGCAACCCTTTAACTGGCCAGACGTAGAGAAGCTCACAATTGCGGGGAACCACAGCATAGTTTGGAGCCCGGCCGACCCCTTTGCCTCCGAGTACATTGCGTTGGTAAAGGCGGACAGACCATTTCCAGGGAATTTGAACGAATTGCTCATAGAACATCCGGTTGCACGTTTGACGTCCGCCTCGTTGGATTCGGGGTTTGAAATCTACGATGAGATTCGAAAAGAAGATGAAGACTGAGTGGCAAGAATTCATGGATCGGCCAGAAGTGACAGCTGAATGTTGGCTCGGTCAAAGGAAAGAGCTGTCAAATGGCACAACGTGCCTTCTCACTATCGCTAGAGAGAAGAGGTCTTGTCGACGGGAACCTGAGGAAAGCAAATGCTGGCCTAGGATTGATTACAATAGGTGGGCCCAAAGTGGGTTTCGGAAACAGACATAAACACTAACACATATATCTGATTGAAAACAACATAAGCGCTTGCTCTTATAAGCTCTAGGTTGCTTCAAGGCTTCATAAGTTGTCCATCATATGCATTCAAAATGCAAACGATCATGCATCCAAAAGATAAGCGTTTTGAGCCTTTCATAACAACACTTTTTAGCGTGTTGTATGCTGGCTGTATACATGACTCATCTGGCAGAAAGATGGTTCAAATGGTCACTCAATATGACAATGACTCAACTACATCAATTCTATCTGGAACAAAGTCAAGGAGTCTCAAAAGCTTGTATCCTACATGGTCATTGGTAGCATATGCCCCTGCAAGCCTACGTACAAATGTGCCAATTCCCCCTAGCCCCCATACCCGTACCAATTGTCCAGTTGGGCAACAATTTATATTATCTGACTTGCCCAGCATTTTGAATGCAGAATACCTTTTAGTTGTAAGTTTGAAGGTCATTTAGCCCCGTAGTAAAATATTATATATATTGTAAATGAAGCTGCCAAATTTCCATAGCAGGCGAAACTCTCTATTATTGGCTCAGCTGATCGAGGATTTTACCCTCCTAGGCTCTAAGCTAGCTAGCCTAGGGCCTAGAGCCTAGAGCCTAGAGCCTAGGGCCTAGGCTCTAGGCTACCCTAGATACTACCTAGGTACCAATCCAGTGGGTACCGAGGTCCCGTCCGACGGTGAATTTGGAATATCGACCGTGCATTTGAACCTTGAACGAATTCGTTCATCCGATACCGTCGGAATTACGAACCGCGGTACTACTGGACTCCTGTGCATGGCTCACATCAGGTGAACCGGTCTGGTGTTCCAGGCTGCCCGGTATTAGGCATAGGCCGGGCAGTATTTCATAGCGGCGTGCAGTTCACGGATCGCCCGGGTCTCAGGCACACCCGGGCGGTCAATCTACATTTGATCGCCTAGCCTCATAACCTAGTTCTAGCGCGGCTCGGTCTAGCACAGTACCGGGAACCCTTTACAGCCTGTGGTAGTATAAGTAAATCTCCCCGGGACATACAGCCCCGTGAGCTCAAGCGCTAGGCCAAACCGTAGCGACGGTCAGATTTTCTAACCTACAATTTATCGCGTACTCAAAATGTACTGCCGCCGTGTACGTAGAAGTAGTACGGTACTCATTACCTAGGTAGTACCGCCGGTCGACCGGGGAAACAAGGTACGTACCATTTTGATGACACTGACTACATGAAAGCCTAGGTTACCGACTTAAGGTGTGTTGCGTACCGTAGTAGTGTCATCTTTTTATCGCCGGTCGGTACCACGAGTTGCGTGGTACGGCCGGCGGTCCATATCTGTGGTACCGGATACCCACATTGGGGTACCGACGGTCACAACGCCTGGCGCCGCTCTAGTTAATCTTTCATCTTTGAGCTCAAAGATTTGCGAAACCTCAAAGATTGCGAGTCTTTTGGTAGAAAACCCTTTAGAAAAACCAAAAAAAAAAAAAAAAAAAAAAACACACACACACACACACACACACACACACACAATCCCATACGAGGGCAGATGGAAGAGAGGATATGATGGGTTGGTATACCAATACCAGCTCGTTGCACGTCAATCCCGATTCCGGTTAGATCGGCGCAATGCACACCGAATTAGGGGATCCGGAGCAGCAGGAATTCGAGAACGCTCGCAGATGGTACGAACTAGTCTACGGTGCGAGAGGAGGAACAATAACATATACTTCAGAAGGTGGTACCAAGTGGTTAGGTGCTTACCTAACTGAAACTTGTAAATTACAGTTATAACTTATCCAACGTACGGTAGGTAGACCGTAGCCTATATACCTAGGACTCGGGAGTCAGGAGCATATTGTGTAAAATTGTTGCGGAGGTACTTCGTTCCTTTTCTCTTTAGGGCAGTAGCAAAGCTGCGCTTCGCAGACTCTTTGAACGAGCATCAGGGCGCTTTGCAAAGAGCTGGTCGCTTGTCCATGTTGGATTGGGCATCTGGGAGGGTCCTTTAGCAATGACTCAATTGATAGCCAGATGAAGCAAGGTCGCATGGATCTGTGGTGATGGTGACACCTAGTTGTCAAATCGCCTTGTTGCAGGTTGAAGCTTTATTGACACTTTGGATTCAATAGCGGGACGAGGTGAGGAAGTGCTGTTGGCATCCAGCACATCGCTTCCTTCTGTCTAAAATGCATAAACAGTCTGCTACAGAGTGTTCGCTATATACTCGATTGAAAATTCAGAGTTGGCGGCTCAGAGATTTCTTGATGTGAAAGTATCTGGTGCCGCTGCTCTTTTTAGGCAATGCTTTCAGTGTTGTTCAAGTGTTTGTACAAAGGCTCTCGCGGTGCTCTATCGGTTGTAAAGACTTGTGCTTTGCAACTTGCAGCATGGGCTCCATCATTGAGGCAGATCATGCAACAGGAAAATGGATATTTTCCAAGGAGGATATTGAGAAGAACACGCCGTCCCGGAAGGATGGCATTGACGCCAAGAAGGAAGCCTGGCTGCGCAAGGGGTGCTGCACGTTTATTCAGGACGCGGGCATGCGCCTCAAAGTGTGAGCAAGCACACCACTTGCCCTCCTCCCGTTGACATTCGAATCAAAGCTTCCGTCAATCGCAAGTGACAGAGCTAGTAAACCCTAAGTCTGTCGAAGCCATTTTTTGTTTTCTCAGTGATGAAATTGTCTCGGTGGCGCTGATTTTTTACAGGCCCCAGCTGACAATCGCCACGGCGATCATGTTCTGCCACCGGTTCTTCATGCGGCAGTCCTATGCGCAGCAGGACAGATATGTGAGCAAGCAAGTCCCATCTTGACGCACCTGCGTATGTTGGCTTTGGTCCGTTCTGCTGGCATCCGGCAGCTGTTGCACAAATCCGTGTGTCAGCTTGCAGTGGACTGTGCTTTTGTGTCCCTCTGCGAGTCGTTGGTGTCACCCCTTCTCATTCTACCCTGCTGGTACAGGTCATTGCCTCGACCTGCTTGTTCCTTGCTGGGAAAGTGGAGGATACCCCACGGCAGCTCAAGGATGTCATTTACGTCACTTACATCATCAGGCACAAGAAAGACAAGGGTGCAGAAGACCGCATCAAGCAGAGCCGAGTAAGCTTCCATTCAAAGCGCTCGTTGCACAGCAATCTTTCTTGACGGCAGACAGCGATCCCTCTCTGCACCACTTCCCGGTGCTGACCCCTCGGAGCTGTCCTTGCTGCTGTGGTCTGTTTGCATGGCAACCTCGGCAGCAGGATTGGCATTCTCATCAGCAGTTCCTGCACTCCTTGCACCTGCAACCCCGATACTCGGCTGGGAGGGCGGGGTTGGCCTTGCCATGATGCTGGTGCCCCGGGTGGTGTGTGCAGGAGGTGTTTGAGCACGAGCGCGAGCTGCTGCTGGCGGGCGAGTATCTGGTGATGAACACGCTCAGCTTCGACCTGAACATCAACCATCCGTACAAGCCGCTGCTCTCCACCATCCGCAAGTTCGACAAGGAGGGTCCGCTTAAACACCTGGCACAGGTCTCCTGGAACTTCGTCAATGACGGGTGAGCCCATTTTCGACACTGCTGGCAGCCCTCCTCCTCGCACTGCTAGGATTTGTGAGTCGATCAAGGGATCATCTGCTGGGGTTAAGTTCTGGTTTTGTCTCATTGCCCTTCTCTGCTTCATTCTACCACGTTCCATGAGATAAGATGTTGAATCACTGTCTGTCTCTCTCCTGCAAGCTGGTGATGCCCGCATCTTTTGCCTCCCTCAAGCATCACGGTCTGGCAGTGCTAGAAATCACGGTTTGCTACGCCCCTTTGCGCAGGCTTCGCACGTCGCTGGGGCTGCAGTTCAAGCCGCACGAGGTGGCGGCGGGCGCCATCTACCTGGCGGCCAAGTTTCTGAAGATCAGCCTGCCGCAGCAGGACGGCAAGCCGTGGTGGACCGAGTTCCAGGTGACGCCCAGCATCCTGGAGGACGTGAGCAGCCAGATGCTGGAGCTGTACGAGCAGACCAAGGACGGCAGCGGCACCACCGGCGCCAGCAGCCGCCGCCACTCCAAGCAGGCCGCCCCCAGCAAGAGCGCGGCGGGCGCCAAGAGCAAGGAACGCCACCCCGCCACCCCCTCTGTGGCGGACCGCGCCGCGCAGGCCTCGCTCACCTCTGGAGCCAGCGCCCCCGTGCCTGCGGCGCCCCTCCCACTTCCAGGGAGCAGTGCCAGAGAGGGGGACGCAGCCCCCGCGGCACAGGCTGCCAATGTTCCCCCGGCTGTGGTCGCTGCAGCGCCGTCTGTTTCCACAGCCGCTGCAGTGGAGCAGACCCGAACGGGGGAAGGGGAGTTGGGAGCGCCCGTTGGAGCAGTAACTCGAAGAGACGAGAACGGGCACAAGACAGCTGGGGCTGCAGGTGAAGTGCGGGTCGCACCTGGGGAAGCAGCAGACACCGGGGCTGCCGGGGATGGAGTCAGGGAGGCGAGTGCGAATGGTTCTAGACAAAAGTTTGGCGGAATCGAAACGGCGGGCCTGGCAGAAGCAATAAGCGCTCAAACTGGCGCAAGCAAAGGCAGCGGGGGCGAGGCCAAGGAGGGTACCGGCATATCTACGTCCGAACATGAGGGCGCCAAAGCATCAGCGGGCCCAGGCTTGCAGGGCGCTGCCGGCGGGGAGGCGCTGGATGAGCCCATGGATGTGGACGAGGACACACCACCCAGCGCCGCGCCTGCTGCCGCCGCCCCGCCGCCATTGCCGCGCCTGCCCGAACAACCCCTGGGAGCTGAACATGGGGTGGGGCTCGAGCCGGAGCTGCGGGCCGGCGTGTCAGGCGCTGCTGGAGCTCCAGGCGCAGACGCGGGGAAAGAGCAGGGCGGAGGGAAGGCCGAGGCTACCGCACAGCAGGGGGCCAGGAGCAAGGGTGCCGGGAGTGGTGAGGGGGTTCCAGACAGAGATGGTGGAGAGGTGGGGTCAGCGCCCGGAGGAACATCCGGACGGCAGGAAGTGGCGCCTACGGCAAGTCAGGGTCCGGGGCACGCCGCTGAAGAGGGCGAGATTCCGTCTGAGGAAGGGGAAATCCCATCAAGCCCTGTGTCGCACGAGGTGCGCAGCCCTGGCAAGGCCTCCCGCGAGCGTGAGCGAGGGGCGCGCGGGCGGTCGCGCAGCAGGAGCAGGAGCTACAGCCGCGACCGCACCCGCAGCCGCAGCCGCAGCGCCAGCCCACCGCGCCGCAGGGGGGGGCACCTCTCCAGGTGAGCACCCCAGCTACCCATCTGGTGTCCGACCTGCGGAATGCTGTTTCCGCTTGAACGATCTGGGGCGAAGTTGGCTTGTCCTAGACCTCACAAAATTGGGTATGGTATTGGGTGATCATGTGTGCTTATGATGGAGGGACAACAGTGATCTGTGCTCGACTGCGTACTTTCAAGTGGATGATTGAGCTGAACAATCTGATGACCAGCTTACCGCTAGGCAGAGTGTTGAGAAGCTTCTCATTGCTAGGAAGGCTTTCACGGCTGTGGTTCCCAGACATCTTTCTGGGATTCCCGTCAACTAATTGGTGCAGGGTTACCTGACGAAAAAGTCTCAATGGTCCGTTTTCGGGACCCACTCGCCTTGCTTTGGGAGAAGTTAATCACGTCAGTCCCAAGTACCTGAGCTTCACAACCAGGCTCCGATTTCCCAGGAACTTTAAAGATCAGGCGGGGACTGCATCGTGCAAGGTTGGGCGCATGCTTCAAGACCTGCACTTGCGCTGCCTGGTCTGTATTTGAAGGCGACACAGGAGCATAAGGCTGGGATCCAGGGAAGCAAGCGCGGCCACAGCGGCAGTCAAGAGCTGGGCCGCTTCAGGTGATGAGTGAGGCCGCCCCTTGGGAGCTCTTCACAAGAGCGCTTGAAAATAGAGCCCTTTGTCTTTTGTGCACTTGCAGGTCGAGGTCTCCATTGGAGTCTGGCCGGGGCCGCAGCCCGTCTTCCGGGGGAAAGCGGCACAAGAACGGCCAGAGGCGGCGCGACTGGGACAAGGGGCGAGGCAGCTCCGGGCATCGCGCACGGGAGGCAGGGGATCGCAGCCAGTGGGATCGGGACAGGGATTGGGGCAGGGACCGCGACCGCGACCGCAACAGAGACCGAGACCGGGACCGGGAGCGACAAGCATCGCACCGATCTCACAAGGATCACAAGGACAGCAACCGGCACCGAAGCTCCCAGAACACCGTAAGTTACCAGTGTGTGAGATGAGATAATGGTATCATGGGTCATGGTTGCAAGGACCTTGTGAATCCTTGCCCGGATTCCTTAGCTTGGACTCTGCTCGTGCCGGCCATCTCTTTTTAAAAGGTCAGAGTGTCTGGCATCCTTGTCACTCTGCAGTCACCGCCCTCTGCTTGATTTGCAGCGACTTTGACCTTGTCTTTGGAAGAAATATGGTGCCATGTCAACAACATGTAATTGTGTGGTGTCCCTCAGCCGTGTTTACACCTTTCTCTGCAGGAATCCACGGATCGAAGGAGATGAGAGACAATTGTTGACTCTAGGCTTCTTTGAAGCATGTGGAAGAGTAGTAGGTGCATGGTAATAAAGAAGTAATCCTTGACATTAGAGTCGACATGATTGGAGTGCCAAGCATCACTCCACCCATTTGCGTTGAAGTGCGTATACAAATCAGCTCGAACTTCGGAAGTGCTTCGTTCCGAAGTTCCCCTCTGCCGATCTCAAGCCATAGCATGTCAGAACCCGTCGAAGGAGCACGTGAACTCCAGTGTTCCATTCTGGACCCCAACAATGGTTGGTACCCCCCGAGCGCCCGTCTCGAAGACTAGTTACTGCAAGAGTCACCTGGTCGCTTGTCTCTACATCCGGGAGGCCGAAAGTGCACATCGATGCCGTACGGTTTATACTGAATTGGAGCCCTCGGTAAGAATGTAATCGGTCAGTCGACATAGACTCTAGGAGGTTACGTTACCGTTGAATAACCCTTGGGTTACACGTGCCAGTACGGAGCCTTCAGCTGCTCGCGCACAGGGGTACCGAAAGGTGTGGGGGTCACAAACGAAAATTGGTGTCCACGTTCTCCTTCGATGGGTTCTGTCAGACGGCCGCGTTGCACGCCCAACAAGTACTCATCGTAATCTTGTCATATCTGATATTTTAAAAGTGGTGGCTAGGCCTTCTTGCATGCAATGTTAGCTCCGCATATGCAGCCATACCGTCGATCCTACATTTTGACAATGCACGGCTATATAGTATAAATTCACGCGCGCGCTGTCACTGGTTAGCTCCGCCATGGCAAGCTTAGGCCATGGTATATTGAACCTCAAAGATCAGTGACTATTCGATCATATAACGGGCCATGGCAGGATCCGTTTTCTATGACCCCGCAGCTAGCTAAGTCATGCATGCAGTACCGGCAAGTTATATATAGCTAGCTCTATTAATTGATCATGGGATGTTCGAAAAGGTACGTATGCGCAATTGATCGACTCAACCTACGTGTACGCTTAAGTACGTTAGTAACAAGCATAATAGTAACTCAGTACTCAACTTACTCAATTGCGCATATACATGCATGTACGTTGGAAGAGCTATTGCACTGATAATGCACAGCATATGACCATGTAATTGCTATGATCGATGGCGAGCGCCGCGGCCGCGACAATAGTATGTATATAATATGAATAACAATATACGGTATGTGCAATATATATGCATGTATGTCTGGATTGATCGATCGGATGTGCGCGCATGCATGACCGGCCGCGCGCACCGCATGCGTGGCCCATGATATACCGCGCATGTACGATGGTAACGTACTAGCTTCGATCAATGTACGTCTCGAGCAGACTTCTGGATTACGCGATCGATTATAAGCAATTAACTAGGATCGATCGCTCTCGCGAATATGTTTATCTACCGTCACATGCTGAGTCTCGTTTCCGCATGTACCACATATATACCATCAAGGCTGATCGAGCTTGACGTCTTGATTGTCAAAGTCTGTCAGATAAGTTTTCTCATGGCAGACCATGTGTTCCGGAGGCGGCTCGCCCGGCCGGCCATGCAATAGATCGAGTTTTCTAGAGAAGAACGTGAAGATATTATAGCAGAGACAAGCTAGAGTGATGAATCCGCCACGAACTAGATGATGTTTCAGAGGAATGACGCTCGGGTTCTTCGATCTCGCACCTTTATTTCAGAAACGATCTTGTCATGCACTCCATGGCCCCCATGCCCCTTCCGGCCCCCTGGTCTGTATACCACCGACTCACTGACGCCAAGGTGCATGTGCGTACTGACCGGGCCGCGGCCGCCGATCCTATATGTGTGCGCGTGCATCTCGTCCGCTCATGGCCGTCAACTCCGTTCCGGCCGGCCGACTGATTATCGACGTCCTATATACTATGCTAAAATTCATCGTTGCTAGGGGCGGGTGCGGCCGCCCCGCGGCCTCGATCCGGAGCCATGGGGGGCCGCGCCGCCATGTTTACTCAATTATGCGCCACAGGTTGCATGCAGCATCATGGTTATGCGAGGCCTATGTACAACTTATGATTTGTTAGATGCCATGGCGAGATGATGGTCGCGAGTCCTTCGTAATTCGGATGAATTAAGTTAAGAGTTTTTAAGATTTCCTCATTTCGCAATAACCGAATATGTATATGTACTGTTGCGACTTAAACAGCCAGGCTCTTCAGCACAAGTCCAGGATCATCCGATCGTTGCCAGAAAAGTACGTTCTCATGTGGCATGATTACAAATGTTTACAATGGACCAAGTTCACGACTAGGTCAATCGGCCCTGGTGACTCTTAAGTAATAACGAACTAATCGTACGTAATGGTGACGCTCTCTAATTCCACCTAGTTGTTGATTGTTAGACCTTCGAAGCACTTGATTTCTAATGGTGAAAGTACGACTACAAAGTACGCATACAACTGGCAATGGACAATCAGCTACTGCTTTCCACTACCTAATGGTCTAGACTAAGCACCTTACTCTACAAGCTCACCCTAAACTTTTACATTGCGCTACCCAATTCACTACGATCCTGAAGCTACATCCTGCAAGGTGCTAATTCGCCTTACTTTCCCACTAAGCTCCGTTCCTTATGCCTTTTCTACTCCCTAGCCCTATCTACTGTATCACGATTAAACGAGTTGCGCGATCACGCCTGGCCTATGCTAGCCTGTCTCCATGTTGGTTAAGTCTTGACCTTCTCCAATCCACGATCATATACACAACTCGTTAACACCTTCCGCTCGACCTTGTCAATGGCACTGCCCCGCCCAGCTCCCATGCCACTGCCCCCGCTGCCTCTTAAGTCTTGAGCTCTGTGACGGCCGGCTGCAGCGGTGCGCCGACCCCGTTGTGCGGGCTGCCCGTGCTGGTCTTCTTTGCGGCGGAGGCGTCGTCGTCGGTGAGGACCTCCTCGTCGCTGTCGGCCACCACGTCGGACGCGTTCTTGCCGTTGGGCCACAGCACGGCCTCGTAAACCGCAGCCCGCCCGCTCGTCCTGTGGACACAACAAGGCGCAATGAAACAAGCACGCAGCACACACTAGGACCAGGGGCACCAGGCTGGAAGACCGCGTGACAGCCACTTTGCCCCCTTCAGATAGGAGAAGTCGATCGGGGAGGTTCTGCTGGTAGAAGAAACAGCAAGGACAGTCCTGCCTCTCGACGAATGCCCTCGACTGGTTGCCGCACTTTCGTGGAGCCAGCTTGCCAATGGGCATCAACGACTCTGCCCGCTTGTCAGCCCGGTCATGACCCGGACAAGCAGCCCAGGGGACGCTGTGCGGCGCGTGTCTGCAGTGAGTCCTCACGTGAGCAGTGGTGCCCGTGTCTCGAGCCAGCGCTGCCAGGTGTGCTGGTGCGCAGCGGCCATGGCGGCAGCGTAGCGCGGCAGGCGGGGCAGGCGCGCCCCAATGAACTGCGACAGCACCTCCAGGTCCTGCACCCATAGGGACACACCGCGCCACAGCTCAGATGACGCGCGGACTGAGCATGGCGCAGTCTACAACACGTTTGTAGACCAAGATTGCGGATCAGGATTACGAGCAGCTTCGACAATACCCACGGCAAGATTCGGGCCTTTATCGGGCCTTTTGAGTACGCGGGGGCATCGCAGGTGGCACCAGCATATTGAGTACGCGAGGGCATCCCAATCCGGTCTTCCACAATCATTTTGATGACCACACCAGATTTCCGAGTTCCTTTTGTCCGCCCTGTGTCAGAACGACGGCCACGAGGCAGGGCGCCCGCACCTGGAGGTCCCCGAGGAGCGACTGGCACTTGACGATTTGCTGCAGCGCCTTCTTGTACTCCTTGGCCTTGCTGTACACGGGCGCCAGCAGCTCCAGCATGTACCGCAGCTCTGCGCACACACACACACGGGCCGCCGCGTCAAAGGCCCACTCCGCACAGCCAGCCAGTACGGGGCAGGGGCAGACTCCCGCAACGCAAAAAGGATCGCTCAGAACATGGGAGATGGGGTGACAGCGGAGAGGGAGTGCCCAATCGGTGCACGCAGGAGAGCTGACATGTAATTAATCTCGTTGTCGAGACGTTTCTATCCACCAGCTCACCCCGGATCTTCTTGCGCAGGTCGTGCATGATCGCGCACTGCTGGCTGTCCAGGCTGCTCACTGCGGGCGCGTCTTCCGAGGCTGTGCTGCCAGCCTCGCCGCTGCTGCTGATCTCTGCAACCCCAAGTGCGGTGCGCCAGGTCAGGAGAGGGAATGAAATGCAAGGGGCTGGCCGACTAAGCGAGGGGGAAAGGGGCCCATTGCTTCCGATGAGCAAGGGCGGCAGGGGCCAGCAGAGCATGCCATGTGTGGTGGCGGTGCCTCACCATCGATGCTCCAGGCGGGGTGCTTGAAGACGGCGGCCACCCTCTGCACCGCGAGCGCAGGGCCCACGGCGCCGGCGCGCTGCGACACGAGGCCGGCAGTGCCCTTGCGGAAGCGCGGCTGAGCCAACCAAGCCTGCAGGGGGCCAGCGGGAAGAGGGCGCAATTAGCCCCACGAACGGTGCCTGGAACACAAACTGCATTGCAATGACCAGACAGAAACTGCCAAGACAAGACATTTGGTCTCCTATACTGATTCTGTAGCGGGTCCCTCAGGTAATGGCTGACTATTTACAACTTTCCTTACCGAAAAAGAACTTCATTGAGAGGGCGCTTGAAAAGGTGAACGCGTCTTTTCTTCGAAATAAAGGGAGATTGTGACATTCATGCCAGCCCCACATATAAGCCAGACGGGTCCATTGCGGACCTTCATGAGCAGAGACCCGTCTAGTAATTAAGAAACCTCGAATCAATTTGAACATGTGAGAAGTCAACAGCTTTTCGACAATCTGCTTGAGCCACCAACTTTACATGGATGTACAGGGCTTTTCCAACACCTGCCGGTTTAGATAGACAAGGGAGTCAGTAGTCGTAGTAAGTTGCCACCACTTGTTTGTCGACCCAAAGCCCTTGGTCGTCTGGCCTTCCCATGTCGTCGAAAGTGGGCAGCTTGCTTGAAAAGCACTGTCAGGACAACACTTCCTAACAAGACCAACTTCGAACGACCTCACAAGCTGCTTCGCACAGGGAGTGAACTAGGGTGGGCAAGGTCACCAACACTCGGGTGCGTTAGTGACTTTGCCCATCCGAGCCAGCGTCCAGCGTGGGCCAGCCCTGGGCGAGTTGCGGGCAGTGTCAATCCGCACCTGGTTGGCCTTCATAAGGTCGCGTGTGTGGCGCCCCCTGAGCAGCGTGGCCACCTCGGCGATGGCCTCCTCGCGCACCGCCAGCATGTCGGCACGCACGGCCTCCACCACCGCGCTCTCCTCGGGGGGCAGCTCGCCGGCACGCTCCAGCACGCTGTCCAGAGTCTCCTAAAGGCAGGCAGGCGAGGGGGAGTCCAGCCGCTCAGCGATGGAGCGTCCAGATTGACAAGAGGAGGTGAAAGGTGCACATGTTTACGAAAAACTTCATGTCTCTTGTTGTAAAAGCTTTGATGTGCTCACTCTTAAAGAGGGCGTCAGATTTCAAAGCGCACTAGTGGCATCTGAGTCCTGAGGGAAAATGTCATCGGACGGACTACAATGCATCTTGAAATATTGGCTCAGCGACCAATTTGCCCATTTTTGCGGTTCTTGGTCGCCGAGGCGTGACGGGTCCCAGGACGCCCTCTTTAAGGTCTAACTACCTATTTAACGAAGGACAGCACCGATGTCTTTGTGCTTGTGTTGCATACTGCAAGGCACCGACTGTTAACTCAAGATGCACCAAGGCGTTTCCACAGAAACATCTGATAGAAGTCCACGAGATGTCAGTCACACTCAACAATCAAAGATGTTTTGTCACGATTGACAATCTCCTTCTTGGGGCTTAGAGGCACAGACTTAACACAGGGCGCTGTCAGCTTTGCTACAACTCGAACTGAAACCACTGGACCAGGTATAATGGCAACATGAGCCTGCTCCATCAAGCCACAAGTCTAGGTGACTATAAACACTTTCTCGTCAGCAGGTGACGCTCGTAAAGCAGGGCCAGCTTACTTGCATAACATCGGCGTCCCGCAGGCGACCGAGAGCCTTAAGGATGCGCGTGATGGACTTCCGCTGAGCAGCTGGGGGCAGACCTGCCGAGTCATGCACGAGACAGCGTCACCTTGATGTCACCAAATCGACACTCAGTAAGTTTGCAGAAACCAGTAGGAATTTGGAACTAGGCAGCGAGGGGTGCGCTCCACAAGGGCGCTTGGCAGGGGATGCTGAAAATTTGAAGCCTGTCGGATCCAGGGCTTGTTGGGTGCCTTACTCAGCAAGTCTGCAAATGCATCCACAACGCTGCGCAGCCTGCGCAGGGCAACGCGCATCTGGTGAATCACCTCCTCGTCCTGTAGGACGCAGGGCACAGACAGCGTCAGGACTGACATGTGGAGCATATGCGGTGAGGATGACACGAGCCGGGAGATTACTCAAGGTGGAGTATGCAATTTTGAAGAAATGGTTCTCAGCCAGAGCAGCGATGATTACTATTTCTGATTAGGCTCAAATCAATCACCTTCATTGCAAGGCATAGGAATCAATGTGCTGACAACTTTGGAGCTGCGGGCTCACCCTTCCGTCCCCACTGTTGTCCACCTGCTCCTTGCTTGCTGCGTGCATCTCCGCAATGCACCCGACCGCCAGGGCCTGAAGGGACTGCTGAGACACCTGGAAAAATATGTTAAAATGTTTACAGACAGGCTGCTTTCATTGGGCGGTTTGGCAGTGAATAGCTCCAATGTGTCTCCTTTAAAGCATGGAACTGGGCCGAAAGTGCGCCCATATGGTGCCTAGATTCAAAATACATTTGTCACAAATGGTACAGTGCTTTTCCTTTGGTGCTCTGCCTCAAGAACAGCATGACCCCAAGCAAGCAATCACGAATTTCTCCATCTTGAGAACAGCATGACCCCAAGCAAGCAATCACGAATTTCTCCATCTTGGGAACGTGCCAACTTGCCAGTCAACATGTCAAACACCTCACACGAGCAAACAATTCAGTAAAAGCTTCACCTTTTTCATTTGAGAGATTGGCACAACAGTCACTGCATCCTGTCCTTCTGGTGCTGGCAACTGAAACGAGCTCCCTGTGGTGGGTGCTCCATCCTTCTTGGGTTGCTCTGCTTCCGAGCTTGATTCATGCTCGAGATTCTGGTGAGAGGCTTTCTTCGCCTTCTTGCCAGCATGCTTCTTGCCGCCCGCCTGCACTTGCAACCCAGCAGCGCGCCGGGTAACCAAAACATTGGGATGAACGGGAGATAAGGGCACGGCGGGCCAGGAGCTGACGTAAGTAGAATGTGGTAGGGGGCCAGCAGGCAACTTACCAAGGCCCAAGCACGCGGAAGGAACGAGCTTTACCGACAGCGACGCCATGTTGTTCCTACGACACCCTTCGGAAAAGGCGCTTTTACATGCAGCTTTGTTGACAAGTGTCTCGTTGCTCGTTGACACCATTGAGTGAATTAGGGTTCGGCTCAGGGGGACCAAACACCACTGAAACAGAGCGAACCATGATCCGCACCGTCAGATGAGACATTTTTCAATCTGGACGGTCGAAGATTGCGTAGTTTGGATGTCCCGAGTCCGGTGCGGTCCTCGGTTAGTCTGAGGAAAGGGTTAAGACAAGTGGTAGAGGTGGGTTGATAGTTCTTTGGTTGGTTAACCCACCTAAACCTGCCCCCGATTCCTCCTAAACGGCGCGTTGCCCGGACCCCAAACTCTAGGTTTTGAAAGGTGACCCTGTGGAGGTCAAAGTGGAGACCCTGTGGAGACCCAAAAGTGTCGAGTTCGGGCAATTCGCCGTTTAGCTGCTGGCACATGGTTCATGTTGCTAACTTTCTTACCCGGGGTGTTTGGTCCCCCTGGCAGTTCGGCTTCGTGGTGCGTATGAGTTGCATCATGCATGATGAAATAGTTAAGGAAATTGTATCTGCGGTGCGTGCCCATTTTTGTGCTCCGAGAATCGTCGCCGAAGTCGCGACTAAAAACTGTATTGCCGCGTATGTGATCGAGAGTACTTTGGTTGGTGGAGAGTCGTCGGACGTCAGATCTCACTGACGGTTTTACTTGGCGGTACCGTAAGCTGCCGTAGACGTCGAAGTGACGTTGGCACAATACGCTGATAGTTATGAGTTGAATATACGCATATATATCCGTATATTACCTACGGAGCACAACCCAGCCAAACCACCCTAACCCTATCCAACCCAACCAAGCCCGCTTAACCAGCCAAGCCAGCTTAACCGTCCAAGCCAACCCAACCTACCGGTAGCCAGCCCACTATTCTATACCCGCGCGACCAACCGAGCAAGCCTGACCAACCTAACCAGCTATGCTAACCAGCCTAACCAGCCTGACCAGCACAAACAATACTACCTAAGGGTGCGCGTCGACCAAACAGCTGCAAAAAGCTTTCCAGATTTATCAGCCAATCGGAGGGCTTTTCAGATCCACGTGGTAAGCCGAGGTACATACCAGAGGATTGAAATGGCTTGGAAAGTCCGTACCTCCTACCTAG